GTAATTTTTAAATTCCTAAACCGAGGCTTAAACCTTATATAAAATATTAAAAGAAATTGTCTATATGGGGCTCAAAATAATATTCTTACCTTTAAATTTATGTATACAACAATGCAACAATTCACTCTAATATTAYATAACAAAGGTAAGTCAATTATTATTCTGAACATAAAATGTGCAATGTTATACATTTGTAAGACAGTGATAACAGTACAACACATTTAGGTATRACGTCTTAGTAATAATTAATCTCAAAACATTTAGAATATATGTTCAGATTATGATAACAATTAAATCACAATAATATTGTTGAAAATTAAAATTTATCCACCCATTGACGTGTTTCATATTACAGAATTATTTAGTGTCATAAWATAATATGTCTGAAAAATTATAAAATGCCACTAATTCTTATAAAATAAATATTGTACTTTATAGGAACTTTACACAATATTTATTTGTCTACCGACTATGCCCAATCTAACCCTTTGATATCGACTGAATTTTTCCAACGTATACTAMATTTGGTGCACTATATTAATACATTGTAGTATTTTCGAGCGTATAAGTTACATTATAAGTACCTAGTTATTTAATTAATGTAATGGAGCAATGAAGCAATCAYCCTAACCGGCCTAATCTTTTGAACCTAGTTTCAAAGAAAAAAAATATGTGACAATTCATTGTAATATTTTTTTTAGCTAAATATACATTTTAATAAAAAAAAAATTAAGAGTTTTGATAATAGTAAATACTATATAATGATACCTAATAAAAATAATATTGTATGTATAATGTAGTATTAAAGAAATTATGAATGTTGATGAATTAATCTTTGAATGAAATCATTTTTGAAAGAAGCGAGGCATTTTGTCCCCAAAACATTTTATTAAAATTTTAATGTCAGTAGCTTCGGAGTTTGAAAAAATAGCGCCCAATCTACCAATAAAAGGAAAAATGATTCCGGACACGTGAATGACCTAMAACGTCACTACAACATTTTTTTTTTTAGTAGTGCTATATTTTTTCTTGCTTGGTTGAAAARTAACATGATTAAATATTCTTGATATAATATTTAAAATACGGCCAATATTAATTCTAAGCCTAAATACTTAATTACTCCGTTGTGGAAAATTGAAATTATAACATTCACATTTCAATACAATATAATATACATCACTCATTGTATTACATTACAGTTAATTTTTTTTTTTTTGAAGATCGCGAATTATGCATGATAACAAAACAGTTAATGTAATATTATTTTAACTCCAACACAAGACCACCATACAGAACGCAAGCAGAGCGAGTTCACTTACTTTCAGGTCGTTGTTGGCTTCCCTGAGCGAAGACGTGAGCGAAGCCAAATAGTATATGATAAGGATAAGGAGCAATAGCAGTGGTATGACGATGCCAGGTGATGCTATGTAGTCGAGGACTCGGTGCACAAGTGGGTTGGGAATGGCTTTCTTGATAGAATTGGTGAAKATGTGATAGATCTTCTTGTACTGCGAAAACGGACCACAGTGCCAGGATGGTTCGATCCACACGATCGCGTAGCCGACTGGCAGCACGCACAAAAACAGCATGGTGAGCAGCAGGCCCAGGTAGAAATTGTTGCTCCGGCTGGCCCGAAACACTACGTCGTGCGGCACGTTACACGTGAGGACCGCCCACGACCGTACGTACATCATGATCATCAATTTGACGACGTTGATGATTGGCAGTCCGGGAGAAAAAAACATACCCATCCATACCATACCTTGGTTGTTGACCAGATGCAATATGTTCTCGGCGATCTTGAAATCGCCATACTGCGGAAACCGCTTTTCCAGGTTCCAGCACCAGCACCGGTTCATGTACCGCACGAACACAGCTCGCGCAAAGTCCACAAATATCGTCGAGATGATCGTCGACACCTAAAAAAAAATTACGGTAACAGTTTGTTTCAAATTACTTGGTAGTTGGGTTAAATCACTCCTATAGGACTTGAACAGGTTTCAAGCACAAATTACGTAAAACAGTTAAAAATTTGACATGTGATAACATACTGCAAAATTAAAATCTGTATTCAATACCATAATCATTGCATAAACATGTACAAATATGAAATATCAATACACGAAACATAAACTAGTAACAAATTTAAACCATACGTTTATAGCCAATGTTTATAAATCAAACCGAAAAAAAAAGCTCGTAAACAAAAATTCAATCCAAACTGTGTCCCAAAATATATTTATATAGTTTTTTGTTCTCAAACCTTTGTTTTATAATTCAAGTATTACTTTAATAATTATATTTTGACACGAGTATTCAAATAATCTTTTTCCAGTTTACCTGAACCTATCAGAAGTAAAAGAAACTAGAAAGTAAAAGTAAGGGAAAAAATATACTTCAAATACATATTCTTTCGAAAAAAAAAATTGTGATTAAACTCAAATAAATYCTATAAGTATTTAAATATAAAATTATCCAGTTTTTACTTTTTAATATTCTTTGTATATCACTATTCAATGTAATGTGTAGATAATATATCAAATCTATGTCTTTCACATCAAACAGTCATTGAGAAATAAAGATGGTTTATCACATATTATGGTATATCGTACGAATTATTTTTTGAAGAGTACAATAATAATTAGTATGGTACACCCTCGTCGCTTTAAATTACGATAAATAACATTTGTATAAATTCGCAAGCGTTCTTACTTTTTGTTATTTTCCGTCCTTTTTACGTATTATTATACATTGATATAATTTATAACGAACACGCTTTTGTGTTTTGTTTTTTAGTTTTTACACACAAGCATACTTGACACGTGTATGGACACTCGTACGTTAAAAAAAAAAATAATGTTTTCATCGAACACAACCTATACAAACGACGTCATGAAAAAAATTTCAAAAAAATATTGTGAGTATTTATAATAAATTTATGCAACCAGCCATTCCAAAGCGGTTTTATTTTCTTTAAAGGACACAAAATCAATACAAAATTATGATAGTACACATATTATATGTATATTTATTATTCATTATATGTATACACTTGTAAAGTGTCTATGTGAAAACTAAAGTATAATATATCTCGTTGACTGTTGAAAACATAATATAAATAATATTTATTAAATATGTATTCATGAAAAAACAATGAAAACGAATAAATGTCGAAACTTCGACAAGCGCTCATTCATTTTATGGTTGGAGAATTCTATTACGTATGTACGTATGTATTTTATTTACCCCGATGTTCACAATTTCAGGTTTATTTACTATGAAATATCAAAAAAAATTATAGATAATGATCTAAAAGTTTACTTACCTACACAATGATTCTTGGAATTTATATTTTATCATCTCTCTGAGGACAACTGTTGGAAATATACTTTTTTCGATGTAATAGTGTTTATATTACGATAAATTATTAAACAGTTTTCGATTGCTATTTTATTTTTTATTTTTTTACATTGAATTTCATATGTCATTTGGTATCACGGCGAAATACTTTACGTACCTACCTACATAGTTTTTACTATACTTGTGCACAATTCATGTATATTAAAACTAAAATACTTTACCTTCAACCAATGTTTAAGAAAAAAGAAACATATATCGCCACAAGTGCTATAAGCACAAAGGTGTTAAAATATTCATATTCAATTTGTGTCCAAGTCAACCCAATAAAAGTCGTCTTATGGAAAAGAGACTGATAAAAAAATAAATACACGTAGAATTTTTAAAATTCTAAGTGGAGCAAGAAATCTATTTGGATAAAATGAGTTTCGTTTTATTCTTAAGTGAATACTATTTGAGGTATCTAGTAAAAATCTCATCAAGTAACAACTTAAAAAATGAAAATGAAAACAGTAGTGGTATATTTTCAGAGCCCAGAGCTATTTTTTCATATTTCCAAAGTTGTATTTAAAATTTAAATCTATAATCAAGCACATTTTTTGTACATTCTTACATTATCTTAATAGAACATCCAAACCTTGGATCATATAATATCTTTTCATTTAACTTAAATATGCTATTTAAAAAAAAAAAACAATGTAATTTTTTTAACATTAAGCTGGTGTTTATATATTTTTAAAGATTTAAATAAAATAAAATAATTATTATTATAACCATTAACACAAGCTCACGAGTCGCAACTTTAAAATAAAATACACAAAACCTAAGAACTTATCAATGTTTATAATTTAAATGTAAGTAACAATAACATATTAACATAAAATAGAGACATTGGTCAATGGCCAACATATTGATAAGTGGTAAATTAAGTTGTGTCTACTGTAGTATTTAAGTAGTTATTTTAATTTCACAATTGTAAATTAAGTTCTTTGATCTAAATAATAATATAATCTTCTAATTTGCCGGCGTTATCGTGAATTTCATTTATTGTTCCTGTATCTCGTGAAAGGAAGAATCGAAGCAGTCGCTTAATATGTTTTGTGATGGGGCACAAACTCACAGACCTGGCTATATTTTATCTTTTATTTATGGAATATCTTACCACTCTGCTYGTGACAATAAGGATTCTATTRAGTGATTAGCATGAAACAATTTCGAACTTACATTTGATCATAATAATAATATTAGGGTATTCAACGTTAGTAAGTAAGACAATCGGTTTTTAATTTATAAGTCTATATTTTTCTATAGTGATAATTATTTTATACCGTTATTACGGTCATAAATGTTATTTTTATAYAAAAAAAATAAATGTTAGTTGTTATAAAATACTACGTTTTAAATTTCAAAAAATGTATGATATAATATAAGAGATATAAATTACGAGTGCATAATATAAAATTATAATCAGCTTATCTAAAATGTTTGGTATATAGATATATCATATAGTATATACATTATACCTACATCATTTATAATATACTAACTCACTCAGCATTAGATATTATTATTATTATTATTATTATTTTATCTCGGTATGCATTTCACGTGTTTCAAAATAAAATTATGGAATTCACAATATTTTGTTTAGAAACCATAAATCCTTTGGATACATGTCCAATTGTTAAGGTTTCGTCATTTCACTATCTCGTGTCCCACCCAGGTCACGTGTGATATGTATATACGTACAAACGTTCAGTTTATCTGAAACTTTATTATAACCGACCCCGTAAATTTACTCATAATTTTAAGCTTAAAAAATCTATAAATTCATCGGTCGTATAGTATCACTTCGTTCCTAATGTAATCTAATATATTATATACTATCTAATCAATATTTAATCAGTACCACGTCGTATTATTTTTTTTAGTTTCACATATTTTATCATAGACTTTGAGTTATATTAGATTTGTTTTTATAACACATTTAATATTTACAATGAATATAATGAATAGTACATAAAATGTATAAATAGAAACATAATATTCAAACTTCCATGTGACGTTATAATAATCAAATATAGAAGATACAAGGAGCCTCATATATAGCTTAATAAACTGGAAAAAATATAAAATAATTAAACTGAAACTATTCTATGTATTGAGAACCTTATATTTTGCAAATTAGATTTAAAATACTAAAAAACTTATTTTATTATTTTAACAAACATTTTATTTAACAGTGAAAAATGTTCTGCATATTATATCTAAATTATTGAAATGTGCAATAATTAGATAAAACTATATTTACATACATACTATATTTTTAGAGTACAGTGCACTTAATATGTTTTCATATTTTGTGAACCTTTCTCATAACATGTATTCTAAAATATCGGTTATGGTTTTATGAACACAAATATGCAGTATCTATATAATACGTCAATAACGATTTGACGTAAATACTTATTGAATATTATTAGTTAACTTCGTGGATATCCAATTTTATAGTTGAGTTATAGTCCAATTCACTAAAACTACAGGATAAGAGCTGTCTATTATAACTCCATTTCCAATAATTACTATTCAAATAAGTTTCAGTGCAATTAATATTATGAAGATCGTATTATTATTAACGGCCCTTTGACGACACTTAATTTTATTCAAATGCATTATTATAAATCGAAGTATATGAACTGATGCTGTTTTGATATTATTATATAAGCTTTGTACTATATACATTTAACTATATAAGTAGGTACTTCATTATGTGTATAACATAAGCGTAAATACAGTTTTCAATTTAAAGGGAGCTTGAAAATTACCCATAACAAATTCTTAAAAAAATTTCAGGATTTTTGTAAAATATAGGTTATTCAAAGTTTAAGAGGGGCTTAACCGTTAACTTTATAAGTGTATAACATACCATGTGTCAACAAAAACAGGGTAAGCTCTATAACTCCATTATTTTTACTACCCAGTAGTCTGCAATAGATACCCTATGGCCTATATAAGCCTATTCATATTTTTTAATTCTGTTAGCAGGAAATGAGACTTAACTATTGGTTCATAAATCCMAATGACTTACAATTGTGTAAMTTTTGTTATTTACTACGAATTTTTTCAAAAACTTTATTTTATAGGTGTACCCTATTTTTCGTTTTAATGTGGATCATAATTTTATTTTAATTGTTTAATAATAATTTTATAATATAACTGAATTTTTTCTGATAGTTTATTATTTTATTTTCATCTAAATTTACAATAAAATAAAAATATGATATGTTTGTTAATTTAACATCAATAGACGGTTATTGACTAAGTATTATAGGTTTTGGTTTTACAACTATGTAACATATTTTCAAGCTTAAACTATTGCTCTTCATGGTATAACATATACCACACAATTAATCACAAAGCGATGAAATATCTAGTGCATATGCTAGGTATGCAAATAATTATCTGTGTTTACTCGATGTAACACACCGACGGGCATTAGTCTTTATTCACACCCGGAGTTAAATAAACGCGAATACTGTAAGTCTGTAAACGATGATAGAATAATATATATGTATACCCTAGTAAAATAGCTTGATATATATCAAAATTCGTAATGTAAATATTATTATTGAGTACTATATTTCATATGACACATATTATTATATAGTTACCGTTCAATATACCTTCAAACAGATGTACCGTCAATTGCACATGACAATAATTAAAGGCATACAACATCTTGTATAGGTGTGCGTCAAATTAGCACATACGATATTTTAGCACGTGAAAATTCAGCGCAACAAATTTATAGTTACAGGTGAAATTTTAAACATACGAATTCATTTAAAACGTCAAAAATAATCTAGTTCAAAAATACCGATCCTTGATTATTATTTATTAGCTTGAAAAACGTTAAAATTAAAGAATAGAAATGAGAACTGGGTATATGAATTATATATTAATGAATCTGTGCAGCCAACTGTATCAAACGAGAAAATAAGTAATTGAAGAAAAATTTGTAACAACGAAAACATCACAAGATACTTGTGACAAGACAGGCGAAACAAATAAAAACAAATTTGAARTGCAAAAAGTCGAATCTAATGTCCGTGAAAGATTTCTCCTTTGAAAAACTAATTTCTCTTAGATTTAAATTAACAGTCAAACAGACAGAACAATAATCTWAGATAATCAGGGATGGTWWTTTTTTAATGTAGTTACAAATTAGCGTTAGTTTTTTTGTTATTGTTGAAGATATAATATAATATAATATTTCATTAAAATTTTTATAAAATTTTTAAATGATAAGTATTTTATTTTTTATTTTCTAAATGTATTATACATATTTGAATATTCTATAATATTACAAGTACTCCAGTATTGTTGCAACTATTATTAAAAAATAAAATAAAATAAAATTTGTTCAACATACATTTATTTTGTAGTGTCGTAGTTGTTATTTTTCGTGGTGTTAATTTTTGAATGAATATAGAATTTTTATTAAATKAATAGTCTAAACTATTAACACCAATGAATGGATGTAAGTTTTTTTTCCATAAATACATGCAATCAAACGATATTCAACACTGGACTGTAGCAAGAGTAACTAGAGAAGTGATGAAAAAATATACTAGTAATCTAATTACTAGATACTTGCTTTTAAAAACTATGTGTTTTAAATTTTTACTTAGTGAAAACTAAATTATTTTACTACTACGATGAATACCTAAAGTATTAATTAATAATAGATTATAATATAATACAATAAACAATTAATAAATACAAATTTAATGATTTTCAAAATATGGAAAAACTAAAAAAAGAAAATTTTGGGAGACTATTCTAGGGAAATCAACTCACTAACAGTGTTACCTAGTTCATCATTTAGAATATTATTGATAGACACACGATTGTTCGTATATTATATTAGATAGAAAACAAGCTCTTTAGTTTTCAGAGTATTACTAAGTCTTAATATATACTTGTCAACTACAATAATTAAAAAGCAGAATGCATTCAAATATCTAGTCTGAAATAGAACATACTAGTATTTTATCAAAAAATAATGTAAGAACTAAATAACAGATGTACTAGAATTATCTCGAATGGCTTAACAAACAACAATTCCTGATACGATTATATTATATGCTCACCAAATCCATGACTGTAAGTTTTACCAACTCTTGTCCAAACATTGTCTCCCAACACAACTTCCGCAATCGTCGCCTGATTTGGAGATTCAAACAAGTGGCACGAAGTGATAAATCTTCTCTAGGCGCGTCTTCGTGTTCCGTTGTTGTCGCGTACGCTTCGCCTATACAACAACCATAGCTGGTTATTTTATGTAACAATTACAATTCATTTATTACTTATTATTTTTAACTCGTTAGTAATAAAGTACAATTAAACGCTAAAAATGTATTTGATATTACCTCGAATTTTAAATATGATCATTAAATAAAATGAGTTTTTTAATATTATTTTATAATTTTATATTCATACTGGTATTACATTCATAGATTTAAATCGATGATGTATATTATAATTAAAGTGTATTATAGATATTATTACAAATCCGTATAATTATAAGAAAGAAATGAAAATCATTACACATTTGGTATAAAAAGCTCTTTGTACTCACATTATCTCTTGACGTCTAAATCTAAAATATTACATTATTTCAAAAAACAGCTTAGAATCACTTTAGATATATAGATAACATTTATTTGTTAGGAGTTAACATAAATATATATATATATATATATACCTATTCTATACAGGAAGTTATTTTGAGTTGTTCAATTCTATACGTGGAACTAAAGTAATCATTTGAATATTTATACATTCATTGATGTATAGGGTATAGGTACGTAACTTTTTTTTTAATGTTAAATTTTGTATTAATTGATTAATTTGTTTCACTAGTGATTATAACATCTTATGTGGATATAAATTATTACTCCGTACTCGTATGAATTATTTATAACCGTTATATAATGTGTATAATTAATGCGTATTGCATACTATGTACAATGTATGTGCGTATCAACGTAACTATAATATGTTAGATGTTTGATTAAATTACTGTCCTTGGCAGAAATGTAATAGTCTCTATAGAATTCCAGGGCACAAATTGACATCGACCACAACTACATATACGTTGTGCTAGCTAGTATATATACAGTACACGTATATGTATATGAGTATACACTTTGSTTATTTACTCGATTCCTCACTAAATCCTTGAAAACCACTGGGYAYCTCAGTTACATTTGTAACTGGTGATGGAGRCGAACAAACTATTTGAAAGCAATGAGTCCCGTTGAAAATTAAATCCGACATCCGTTTTACGATTCTCCTCTCTTTAGACGACGCGATCTTCTCGTCCATCTGCCAAAACTGCAGATTGTCATACGAAGTCGTACTATACGGTTCATCGTTATCATCAATTGTGATTGTAGGTTGATCGATCGTCGTGTTTGCCCTCAACACAACTGTGTTCAGACTTTCCATCGATTCAGTGACCACACTCGTCGTTGACTCTACGAACTCGTTCAGCATCGTCTCACCTAATGCACTTTCTGTCGTACTTGATGACGATTCGGGGGTGGTCGAATCAAAGCCAAATGAAACGTCCGTCGAACTCGTAGTTGTTGACTCAGTAGTGACAAGATCCATGGTTGAGTTCTCCGTCATCGAAACGGTTATGACTAGACCCACAGTTGAATTCTCTATAATTTCGTCATAACTGTGAGTATAACTGACGTCAGGTTCTGTGGTGGTGTCTTCAGACGAAGACGTCTCGTCGTTGTGTACGACCTCGGCAAATATTCGTACATTATCGATGGTCTTGAAAATCGTTTCAGTTGTACTTTCAGTCCATCTGGTTTCGTTACGATTCGCACTGAAAATACCAGTAGTTGGGGGACTGACCTCCGAATTGCGACTGAAGTCTGAACTGTGACCAAAATCCACTACCGAAGGCAAGTTAGCCACAGTGGTAATCAATTGTAGTGCAGGTGTGGTCGATGAGGAGACGAGTTTGTCAACTATCTGTGGACGCACGTCGGCTGGAACATTTTGGGCAGCTGGCAATGAGAACGGACATTCTATTTGTTGTCGGAAGCAATTCGGTTGGGTATCGATCGTATTGGTAACGGGCAACTGAAGTTTCGTCGTGTTCGACAAGGTCGAATTCATAAACGCTAACGCAACCAACACTGAGGTAGTCGACGTCGTTTTCAACAAAGATGTTGTGGTGGCCATGGTGGCCGCAGAGGCCGTGATATTGGATACATTAGATTTCAACACCAATAGCTCCTTTGTCTGCAACACGTAAACGGTWGTTAAATAATAAGGTCGTCTCTAAATGTAAATATGAATTAGTACAATACGTATAATATTATATATTTGATTTAATATCATAAAGAATGTATTTTTCTTTAATCATTATTTATTGTAAATTTTAAATAACACAATAAAAAAATGTTCCGGGATGAAACAAGTTAGGGAGTTTACTCTGCGAAATTTCTAGCTTTTAAGYCGTGTATTTTAGCATTATACTAAAATTCCACAMATTTTAACAAACTGTATACTTTTGTAATTTTTTATTTATTTTTTTTTTTTGGCTTGTATAGTTGTATAAATATATGAATAYGTAATCTATATTAAATACTCATATATTTTTAATAATGACCATTGGCCAGCATGAATTTACTTTAAATAGAACCATTATTAAACTATAAATTTGTTCAACTGTAAGTAGTAATATAGTCAAATATACAATTAAAATATTTATTAAACTGTCTAATTAATATTATTTGAATAAAAAGGTTTAATAGTTAAAAAAATCATTATAATTTATTGAAAATTATTAGTTCCTCGTTACGTTAATTAATAACAACGTAGATAAATAATTTTAAATCTATAGCTAGGTAGATATAATAGGTATAAACTATTTTAGATTTTCAGGATTGAACTTGATACATTTGGGGTTCACCTGGTTTACAGAGTGTTGTATCTCTTTTGGTCGTAACTGTGGTCCTAAAATTAAAGATGAGTTTATTGTTATTTCGTAGTATGTATGCTCTTTTAGTAGAATGCATTGTATTTAATATTTACTGCCCCCCGTGATAAATTTTAATTGTGTTTTATTTGTAATTCCGTTTAAATGTTTGTGTTTTCATTAGGCACGCACRTAATATAATAATAAATTACTTTTGGTCAAGCATTTTTTTGAAAGTTTGAACACTAAAAAACAGCCTATTAACATTAAAATAAATGCAGGAACGAGGTGTAATGAACGATTCATATGTGAAATTTGTACTTTGAAAAAAGAWACATTTAATATTTTAATGATTGAATATTCATGAATTTTAGTTTTTATAAAAAGTTCTAACTTCTTAATTATTAATATTACAAGTATTAGTTCACCTAGTTCTCGTAATATACTCGTATATTTTTTAATTTTCATTAAAATAAGGCTTTTTTCCTTTTTTATGACTATTGAGTATAAGTTCAATAAAATGTTGTTTTTAATAAGAATAATATAATATGATACATTTATTTCAGATCCGGTAAACGTGTTAACTTTACTCAAGTAATTTATGTGTAATTGTATTTAATTATTTAGTGTATCAAGATAGACTAGGTAACATTAAGGCAAAAAAAATTATATTTAGAGCATATTTTAATAAATTCGTCTCATATTCTTAAAGGTACATTTTAAACGAATATTTATTATGTTAATCGAACTATTAAATTTAATATTTGTGTATGTTTGTTAAAAAAACACTTTGTCATATGACAAACATAATATGTTTATTATATGTTTATTATACTTTATACAATTGGAGTATTCTCTATAATATATGTTTACTATATATAATGCTCTTTTAAAAAAATCGACTATGGACATATGGGTGGGTGAGAAGAGAATGAAAAATTATACTGACATATACTTAATAAAATATAGAGGCCCAACAAAGTATAAGTGTGCGAGGCATACCATCTCACTACTCKATCTATACCTCATCCAAATTCCGCAATATTATATTATTTATTATTGCYTTTATGATAATTGTATATTTTAAAGCAATTTCATTATAAACTGTTTCATTCATAAACCTACTTATGATTTAATAAAACGAGTATTCATAGAACTCGAGAAAAAAATAATTCATTGATAGCCGATAGGATACATTAGATACATAGAAAAAATAATTGKTYAATTAACTGTGTACTAAAGTATAAAGTTTATAACATGTAAATTTATAAATTATATAATTACAAAATTTAACATTTTTACCGTAGTTAAAATTKTAATTGTTATWAAGAAAATTGTTTCAATGAAAACTATGTTTTTGATATAGGTAATTAAATTTTGTGGTAAATGCGTTACCATAAATGCTGCCCTTTAATATCAAATATTATTCCTTTGAAGGCGGTAAAAAATGCGCTACAAAGAAAATCTTATTTTCTTATGTAAAAAAGTAAATCTAATTTTTTTTTTTTGTAGGTAGATAGGTAGGTATAGGTAACCTACAGACAATTTCACAGAGATAAAATATAATAATAATTTGAATATATTAACCCAATACGATTGACAATTAACCGTATGCAAATGGTATTCATTATTCAATCGTCACTGTATATTATATAACATACATATAAATTCCGGTCACAACGAATAATTAACATATTAGGGGTTAATGTATACTTACCATGTCGTTGATTTTCACAAATAATGCGAATGTCAGTGTGTAAAGATTTAACAAGTTCAGCGCCATAATCCTAAAACAGAACAAACGAGGCTTCAGTTTATAGGAACATACTTTCTGAATAAAACGTGTATTTTCCCCTCCAAACTAGTAACTACACATATCATTATTCAGAATGACAACAATAATGTGTATAACGTATAAGTCTTAATCAGTTGATTTATTAAACTTTAAACTTGATTGTGAGAAAATCAAAGCTAAAACAGCATATAAACCCTAAAATTTGCTTCGGGCGTATTGAAAGAATTCGATTAAGTTATAACAATCCGGAACAAATTAAAACAAGMAATTATACGTCAATATMAATTTGATGTTTATTCGGATGAAAGAAGAGTTTATTATCGTCCTATATTATTCATCATCGTCTGGCAAGACGTGCCAAAAATCATTAGTTTTACCATAGGTTTAACATTGTTATGAGGGTAAAATTAGATTAAAATCTACGATACAACGTATAAGTTAGTAAAGTGTTTTAGAATATAATATAATTTAGTTAAAAGTGCTTTTCTAGTCTAAGTATATATTATTTTTTAAATATATAAGTATTCTGATTAACTATTAAGGTACTTAGGTAACGAATTCTAATTTCTTGGTAACAAACTATTACAAATTATTTCTAACACTTTGTTATTACCTACCTACKTATYACAGTGTGTTTACGATATGGAGTAGGTATCACTTAATATTTTAACTRGATGATTATGTTAGACATRTTAAMAAACTCGAATCAGAAACAGCGACTGATGCTTGTAGCCRTCAATTTTCGAAATAATAATATATACGTGGTACAAATGTACAATACATAATACCATAACATTCTGGTTCYCGTCGGAARGGTCGGCACTACCTTTTGCGAGACCCAAGGCAAAACTTATTCAACCAATCACCTATAGYCTATATGATTTCCATATAAAATATTTTTCAATTTAAATTTTAAGCGCAAGGCCCTGAACAAATAACCAACGTTTCCCCCTCCTCCCTTAACGTGGTTCTTCCCGCCGATCACGTAGAATCGTTAGTACTCAAAATTATGAAATTACGTTCATGTAATAAGCATATTAATAAATTTAAAATTAATATGTCATATACTTTATAAATAAATATATAAACTTTCAAACTTGATCTAACAACAAAAATAACAACGATAAAACTATCAAAATTAATCTTTAGTTGGTATTACTCACTCATCTTTATATGAATAAAAATAGAARCTATATAACATCTTAATCAAATAAAAAAAAATAGTCGCACAAACAAGAATGATTGAACTACTCATTRTATTAGTTTGGTTACCTAATAATTAACATAATATATAAAGAAAAAATGAGTATTTTGTATCTAGTTATAGTTTAATTATTTTTAATTATATATAAGCATTMAATAAGTTAGTTTTTAGTTGGAGTTACTAGTATAATTTGACTATAGGTATAAGTTTATACAGATAATCATAGTATTATACTAATTATATGAGTTTTAAAAACTAAATTTAAGGATAATCCTATATATATTTTTAGTAGAATTACTAAATTGTTTATTCGTCATATCTCATAAAATAATTTAAATCGTTACAAGTGTGTTATATCTACTATATTRCTATACGAATAAATAATACATATTGGTTATGGTGGCGTCGCCATAGTTATACACAATTCCCTTTAATCCAAACTGATCCCTATTGAAATCGCTACTAGAAACAGATACATTAGTCATAAAATTGACATCATAGGCGTCAAGATTCTCTCAGTGGACTCATCTTCTCCCCTAAAAGTTTGGTCTTGCTATATCCCCAGTAGTTCTAACATTCCTACCAACTTGTGGCTGGACGTATACAACCTGGTCTCCCATAACACACTATTTGGACATTCGGTGGTGATAACTATTTAACGTTTATATGAGCATTGTTGATAAGTATCTCTCATCACTCGATCATAATTAATGCCTTATTTATAATGATGATCTAGTTATTTTCTCTTTAAATAAGTCCCTCAATATTTCCATCGATATCATCAATTCTGCCTTGAAAGATGTAAGGACTATCCTAATTAAATTGTCATTTGAAGTTGCTCCTGAAAAATGCAAATCTGTTATATTCACTCRCCGCAGATACTTAAACCATCTTAATATATATTTTGATAACAATATTATACCTTTTGTTCCTAACATCACTTAATTAGGCATCATCCTTGATCCCAAACTTCGTTAGTTATCACATATTACTTCACTCACAGCATTCGCTTCTTGTTGGTCTAACTTCCTCAGATCAATAAGACAATAACTGATACTTGGTGGGGCTCTCATCCCTCATGTTTAATTTCCATTTACTTAAATCTTTATCTCATAAAAATCATTCAATTTTTGACATTTTTTATTCAATGTATCTCAATTGRCTCTATGTCTCCAAATCCATTCCARTCTTATCTATTATCACAAATGCTGTTTCGTGATTTCACCAATTCAGCATCAACTTAGTTAAACTTCCTCTTTATGACTCTTTACTATGGAGTATAGTCATATTCAACTGGGTCATCAGTTTTCTGACCTTTCCTCTAACGACTAATCAATGTCTTATTCCATGGTCAATGCAGCTTTTTCAAACTATCTAAATATAAACTTTCCTGACTTTATTATTAATTATACTGCTGGTTCAGAATCACCTCTTTCTGCTGRCTATGCAATTTACATTCCAGAATTACATATATCTTTCACAAACAACCTCCCACCATCGTCTTCAACTTTCTCAGCTAAGTTCTATACCATCATTGAAGCTCTGACATTAATTCTAAGCTTCGCCCTGAATAAATATTTAATAGCCACTGACTCTATGTCTTGCCTACAAGCTTTAGTTTCCAACCCTTTCAAYTCTCACCTTTTCCCTCTTGTTCTTCGTATTAAATCTCTTGTTTTCAACCTCAATCAATTAAATTACATTGTTCACTTCCTTTTGATTCCCAGTCACATTGGAATGCGTGGAACGAGATCGCCGATAATTTGGCTAAATCCACCTTCCGTCTAAACTGTCCTTCTACATATCTACCAATCTGACTTAATTCCATTTTTAAAACGCTACCTATCATCTAGTTTATGGTCTTCCTATTGGTATAACTTACCGACTGAGTTCGCTTCGAGATATAGATATACAAACACCTGACATCATWAAAAAAACTTGGTTTAACAACCTTAAGTTACAAAGATCACATATAGTCCAATTTAATCGTTTACGTATAGGATATTCCTTATTACCTAGTYACTCTTTCAAACTTGGACTAAATTACTTTGTACACTTCATTCATATGAGTGTATCTGTGACCTCCCTCATATTTTTTTTAAGTGTCCTGCCCTCCGGCTTAAACGACAAATTCTATTAAACACTCTTAAATCCCTTAATATTCCTCTCAATCTTTACTCCGTCTTAAATACCAAATCTGAATCAGCTATTAATAAAATGATAATCACCTTTATACGGAAGGCTACAGGCTTCATAATATAAAACAATATAGTATATAAGTATTAATCTGTATTAATCTTAACTTCGTACTGTTTTTTTTTT